TTTTTTTTTTTTTTTTTAACCCAAAAATTATAATTTAAAATGAAACAAAATTAATGTTAAATTTTAACTAATAATTATCAATGAATGATTTAACTTAGTCATTATTTCCTCGTTCACAGAATTAATATACTAATTATATAGAGTGTGTTCAGTAAGTTAGAAAAAAAGTTATTATTTTCATGGTCTGTAAAATTTGACCTATTTTCTTAGTTTTTGAACACCCTGTATCAACTATGGTTGGGCGGTGTAACCATGCCCTTAAACTAAGTTTATTTTTATGCTTTGACATATAAAATACAATACATATATATATATATATATGTATATGTATACACAATAATTGCCTACTGGTTAAAAAGGTAAATAATGAATCATATTCTAATGTAAAAATAAACAATTTATTACGAAACTATTATTTCTTCTTTATTTTAACTGTTGAATTGCAAACTGTCATTCACATTTAAAAATATTTAAAGTCTAATTAGTTTTTAGATGTAAGTCATATAAAAATGATATGTTACTTAAAGAATATTTATGAATAAAAATAACGAAATTATAAAAAAGAATGAGATTATCGAAGGTAACAGATAAATCAATTAATACTATGTATTATTCCCAATCCAAGAAAATGTATTAATTTTAGCTTATTCAATATTATAAATATATAAAAACAATATCAACTATAAATACAAACAAGAATATTGAAGTAAATAGATTTGTTTAGTACTTAATTATTTGTTCTTTGCTGCAATTATTAATAAAAAATAAAAAATTGTTCACAATATAAAAAACTGTCGTTAAAACTTTTAAAAGATTTTAAAATTGATTATTAATATATGACATACATTAAGGACAATACATATATTTTTTCATTCCAAGTAAATGTTATAATGGATATTTTTCTTTAAAGTTTTAAGAATTTTTACTAAAAATATTTGAAGTATCAAAACAAAATTGAGTTAAAGCATAACTCATTTTAATTCGTAATTACTAACAAATTTTTTTTAATTATCTTAATCGTTTAAAAATATTTTTTTAATATTTTTTTATTTATATCTGACTCTAATTATACTTCTATTGGTTTAGCCTTGAATAATTTATTATTCATTGTGTTCTATATTTAGAACAGCTTTATAAATTGTTTGAGGTTTGTATTTAAACATAATCGATAATTTTATGTGTATGTATGTTGTAAATTAATAAAACAACGTAACTGATCTATAGCTGATTCATACCAGCAGTTCTCAAATCATGAAGTACTGCTATTGAACCTACGGTCTTTTTATAAACTCCTAGATCACTTGTGCTCAATATAAATATATTTGTATAGTTTACATACTGTACAAATAATAATACCAGCTACTATATAAAAGACAAAAATTAAACATATACATGATCTAAACGTTCAAATTTATATAATTTAAATTTATCAATTATAGAATACCATCTTTTTTAAATTTAAGAAAAAGTAAATCATAATTTTACCGATAAATTTTGGTTAAAAATTAAAACTGAAAATGTTCCCATTATATATTACCAATATTTACTGATGTATTGTTAAATTTCATAAGTGTTTACCGAACCTTTCATTTAGAACTGAATAAAAATTATACGGTTTATTTGAAGATAAGAGATTTTTGAAATTTAATAATAATTAATTTTGTACTTCTTTTTCGTCTTATGATAGTATGTGAAATAAACTTAATTTAATATACCTGCACCTCAATAATGTTATTTATGTTTCTGTTGAATCGCTGTGAATTACTTACTTATGTTATATATGTTTAAATTGTTATTAATCAAAATTGTAAAAAAGGGCTATGCCCGTTAAATTTATAAATAAATAAATAAATAAATACTTAACTAATTTAAGTTCAGAAGTTTTAATTTTCATAATTTGTCACTATTTATATAACTCTAAATAATTACTTTGATTTGACCCAAACAAAAATTCATCAAATTTAAAAATAATGCTTACACGAGTCTTCCTCCGAGTTACAAAAACTTGTAAAATATTACAATAAGTCTTTGGTTTCATATGAAACCGAAATCACATGATTTTGATATGTTATTAAATCAAATTAGAACAATAATTTTTATTTTACAAACTCGGAGCTTTAAAGACAATGTCATTTGAGTTCCAGTTTTAATAACATTTATTTAACTATTTCTTTATTTTTTATCTGCATTATAATTTTCTATCTACCCCATAATTGTAGTTATTTAGCTGACATTGTAGGTATACAAGAAACCCTTTTTTTGTTTATATATCACAAAATTATCTTTAAATATTCCATTTGTTTTTTTCCTGCACTAAATTATATAACGATGTCACACCGCTGTTGGATAATAAGTTATATTTTTAGTATCGAAGGCCATTTAAAAAAACGTTCAAAATAAACAACAAATTATAAGTAACACATTAAAGTTATCAACATTCAGTTGTATTACTTCTATTTTAGATTTGGACTTGTAAAGCAAAACATAGGCTGATGTTTATTTTTTTTGTTTTCAACTTTTATTGATATTGATTTCTAGTAAATAAGTTACAGCTAAAGTTAATACAACATTTCAAGTATGAAGAGATCGATAATTTTTGGAGTTATAGTCACGCTATTTATTGTTTTTGAAGGCTTATTTAATTTTTACTTTCCTATGACAGTCTACTGTACACACAAAAATCATTAACTTTATGTTCAATTTTATCAAGTTAATGCTATTTTCGCGTGTTTTATTTGCATGGAGAAATGTTTCTATTTTTAAATATCAATTTATACAAAACTATCGCAATTCTGTAAACACGCCCATTATACCAACATTTTTCTGCCTTGCTCTCCTACAATTTCATATGTAACGAGTTGGCGTTTTATTCATTTACGATGTTTCCTGATGAAATAAAAAGTTTGACCGATAAATTATGGGGTTTTCGTGTAAATAAAAGCTGATTTTCCGAAGAAAATTTTTATCAATTTTGTATGAGATATACTAGTAAGTTGATTGAATCGATGAGGACATATTATAAAAATGGCGTATTTTGAGGAGCGATTTATGGGTCAACAATTTTTGAGTATTCGTCATTACTAAATATCACGTCTTTATTCGATAGCTATTTGAAAAATTTACGGATTAAAAAATTATTTTCAGTGACAATACTACAATTAATTAATTCTCTTTGTACTTCATATTTTTTTTAAAATTCCAATCATTTTTCTAAATGCCCATGCAAGTCAGAACAAAATAAAAGTAAACTTACAGTCTTTTTTTTAATAACGGACATTTTGTTTATGATTTAGAAATGTGCAGATTACAAAGCATCTGACGTACCAACGTTTGCACGAACAGACCCTCCAGATACCCAAGTAATATTATTGTTTTTTTATCATTATATATATATATATATATACATATTTATTACTGTTAGCCATAAAATTATTTTATTGCTGTGAATTTTGAAATCTTATGTAATTAATTAATAAAATTAAAGTTAAATAATAATATATTATTTTATTTTAATTGCTGAGTAAAATTCAAATTAATAGTTCCGCTTAATTTTGGTATATGCTTATTTACTAAAGTTTCCATAATTTAGAATAAACAAAAGTAAAAATTTGAATATTCACTTTTTTTATAAAGATAACCAAATCGATTATATCATTGTTGCGGTATTACAATTGGAAAAAATTTAGCATTATTTTTGAAGAAGGTTGGAAGTCAGTAGCAGATTCCCTTAAAATACAAGCAAAGAAAGCTAACATGACTATAAATCATTACAAAACAATTGTTGATCTTTACAAATGCTGTGAATTAGATCAAAAGTGTTGCAGTAATGCTTATTGGTATCAACTTGTGCAAGAAACTAAAAACAAAACTAGGAGTATGTTCATGTTGATCAATTTTTCTAATGTAGTATTAGATTTGTTTTTTATAAAATTAAATTTAATGAATTTACAGTTTATGTGTTTCTGGGTAGTTCCAACTCTTTAGTTGACATGATGACCATCATGCAAGCACTACAGTTATTTGACAATGGTGATTACATGGTGATTTATGCAGACACCAAAATTAATTCAAATAAAGATGCCAGACATTATTTATGGAGTTAGTATAGCTAAGTTATACTTCATTTTAATGTATATCTAAATAAATCATTATGTGTAGAGCAAAGGAGCAATGGTGCTTATGAGCTAGCAGATTGTATGGAGGAAAGGAATTTCTTGAAAAGAGCTCGTTCATTATTGGTTGTTATGGCTTCACAACCAACTCCATCAACATATGAACTGTTTACAAAAAAAGTCCTTGATTTTACTAGTAAAGATCCATTTAAATTTTCTACTCCAAATGTATTTAAGAATGTTTCTTATGTTAAGGTATATATCCTCTAATTTATTCAAATATAAACAAAACAAAAATAAATGAATAGACCTAAAAAAATTATAATTTTTCATATTATTTCATATTATTCATATAATTATTAGTATTTTATTAACTATTACAGTTTGTTTCAATATACGCTGCATATTTATATGATTCAGTCATGTTGTATGCCCGTGCATTAGATTTTTTACTTAAATCAAGATCCAGTGTTCAAAACATTACAGTTGATATTATAGATGAAGTAGCATCAAATGGGACATTAATTATTGAGACGATAATAAAAAATATTACATACCAAAGTAAGAAGAAATCCTACTAATATATATATATATATATATATTTGTATACTATGAAAATGATGTATAATTAAAAAATAATATATTCATGCTAAGTCTGTTTTATAAATAGGTGTTACTGGGTCAACTATAAAGTTAGATTCTAGTGGAGATTCAGAAGGTAATTTTTCTGTAGCTGCGTTAAAACCACACAATTTTTCTTTTCAAGTAGCTGATGGAAACTTCACTTGTCCATACTTCATGTTAAATATAGCTCAATTTCAATTTCAACATGGTGAATTACCAGTAAGTAAAATCTTGTATTAAACAATATGTGACATGGAAAGGCTAAATAATCTAAGTATCCTAAAGTTTTTTTTTTAAGAATACAAAATTTTATTTTATTATTCCATTTCTTCATAAAAAATTATTGGTTACACTATCTTTAAATATCGTTATTTTAATAATTATTTACTAACATTATAAATTTCTTTCCTTAATATTGGCATCATGGGTATTATTTTGGTGTAATAAAAATTGTTATTTAATTTTTAACAGTTTAAATCGCGCTTAGCCCTTCTATGCCTCATATATATTTATATGACTTAATAAAATTGATACATTTTTATGTCTAGCCAAATGGAGCAGAAAATAAATTATCTGCACCATTTCTAGAATATTAAAATTTGCAACTTCTGCAATGTTTAAAAAAAATGTGGAGTTTTTTTAATATATTTTGGATGTTATCTATACATTTAAAAAGTTATAGATATAATTATTCATATTACAACATAAAATTTTTTTACATAATACTAATGTATTTCTTTTACTTGTAAGCGTAGGAATACAAATTGTATTCTCCATCTATGAAAATAGATTGGCCTGGTAAAAGTCGACCTGATGATGAACCTAGTTGTGGCTTCAATAATGAATTATGTCAAAATGATTTTCAAAGAAGCTCTATTTTTATAGCTATTGTATTGGGACTGACACTTTTTTGTGCAATTGTCATTACTTTATCTATTTATAGAAAATGGAAAATTGAATTAGAAATTGAAGGATTATTGTGGAAAATTGATCCATCAGATTTACTTGGATATTATAATAAAGACATTGTATCCTCTCCAAGCAAAGTAATTTTTTTTTTTTTTATGTAAAGCTTTTTTAAAGTTTATTTTATAAAGTATATTTTTACTATATTTTTTTTACTTTTAGTTAAGTTTAGTTTCCGCTATGTCTTATGAGTCTCGAGCTGGTCTTCAAGTATTTGCTATGACTGGACATTATCGAAATATTATGGTCAGAATTAAAGAACTTAAATTTTCTAAACGTAGGGATATATCTAGAGAACAAATGAAAGAAATGAGACTGTTAAGAGATTTAAGGCATAATAATGTAAACTCATTTATTGGAGCTACTATTGAACCAACTAGAATTTTAATTATTACTGACTATTGTGCCAAAGGAAGTCTCTATGTAAGCATTAGTGATTAACTAAAAGAAACAATTATTTATAAAATGTTATTTGATATTTTAGGATATTGTAGAAAATGAAGACATAAAATTAGACAAAATGTTTATTACATCTTTAGTTCATGATCTCATTAGGGTAAGTTGTAACCAGTTTTATATTGGACTAATAACATCGTTATTAATGCTAATTATATTTTAATTTATTTGAACGTGTCAATCGTTAGTGTACCCCATTGTTGTGCAGGGTATGATATTTATTCACAACTCGCCTTTAGGTTGTCATGGGAATTTAAAGTCATCTAATTGTGTTGTAACTAGTCGTTGGGTATTGCAAGTGACTGATTTTGGACTACATGAATTAAGACAGAGCGCAGAAAACGACTCTATTGGTGAACATCAGTATTTTAGAAGTAAATATTATGTATTAGTATTATTTTTAAGTCTCTTAAAAAATTATTTATTTAAAGTATTTCTTGTTTTTTTTTACTTTATTGAGAGTATTTAAATTAAAAATAAACTAAAAGTAAATACATTTCTAATTTTTATTTTCTAAATTATTAAGAAATGGTTTCTTATTTTCGCAATCTATTTATATTAATTAATCTTAATTATTATTTTTATATATATTTTTATATGATAAACTGCTTTGCTATTATATATTTTGTTGTTTATAAAACCCATGTTCCTATTAAAAATTTAAAGTAATAACAGGCTTATATAATTTTAATTAGATTTATTATGGAAAGCTCCAGAATTGTTAAGAAATCCAACATCATCTGTTAAAGGTACACAAAAAGGTGATATTTATGCATTTGCCATTATTTTACATGAGATAATGTGCCGAAGAGGTCCTTTTGGCGCTTGTGGCGTTGAAGAACCTAAAGGTTAGATAAATGAAAGGTATTATTTTATAGATAAAACCTGTAAATGTGATTATTATGTAGAAAAATATACTTTTTACTAACTTAACTTATTATTTACCAGAAATCATAAGACTGGTTAAGATAGGTTATGATGAAATAAATGGTATTCCATTGCGGCCTAGTATACATTATCTAAGAGACTGCGAGTTTGCTGAGGATTATATAGTTCAATGTATAACTGATTGCTGGGATGAGTATCCTGAGAATAGACCAGACTTTGGTACAATAAGAGCCCGATTAAAAAAAATGAAAGATGGAAAGTATGTTATTATTTTACCTATTAATTTTTATAAAAACCTTAATTATTTTAAAAATTTTTAATTTATCTAGACAAAAAAATATTATGGATCAAATGATGGATATAATGGAAAAGTATGCAAATAACCTCGAGGATCTAGTCAATCAACGTACAAATGAGGTTTATGAAGAAAAACGTAAAACTGAAGATTTATTACATAGAATGTTACCTGCGTATGTTTATAAACTTACATAAATATTTTTATTTTTTTGATTATACTTTTGTTTTTTTATATTCAGGCCAGTTGCAAAACGTTTGACTTTAGGATATGGTATTGAACCCGAATCTTACAACTCAGTTACCATTTATTTTAGTGATATTGTTGGTTTTACTGCTATGTCTGCTGAAAGTACTCCATTACAGGTTTATTAACATGAACATTTATTAAAGGATAACTAATTATCTAAATTATTTTTTCTAAATGTCTAGGTTGTTAACTTTTTAAATGACTTATACACTTTGTTTGATAAAATTATTAAAGGATATGATGTTTACAAAGTTGAAACTATTGGAGATGCTTATATGGTTGTAAGTATTTTTTATAAAAAAAATGTTCTGTATAAATTTTAAATATTGCATTCATTTCAATAGGTTTCAGGATTACCTATCAAAAATGGTAAGAGACATGCTGGTGAGATAGCATCAATGTCTTTAAACTTACTTGAAGCTGTTAAACACCACAAAATAGCTCATCAACCTGAATCAACATTAAAATTGCGCATTGGAATTCATACAGGTAAGCCAATCTACCAAGTCCTTGTAGTTTAAGTAGTTACTTAAACTACCAGAATAGTTCATCTAAATTTTAATAATTTATCTTGAATTTCAGGACCTGTTGTCGCTGGTGTTGTTGGTTTAACTATGCCAAGATATTGTCTTTTTGGAGATACAGTCAATACAGCATCTAGAATGGAATCAAATGGAGAACCATTAAAAATACATATAAGTGAGCAGTGTAAAAGTGCATTAGATGAGTTAGGTGGTTACATAATCAAGGAACGTGGTTATGTTAGCATGAAAGGCAAAGGTGAAATTCTCACATATTGGTTGGAAGGAACTAATGAGAATGCTATAAAACGTAGAGATGTATGTTTCTTATGACAATATAATGTAGAATTATTTTATTATTGTTTTAATTTATTTAGGTAGACTTGACTGAACTGCCACCTCTGTTTTGTGGATCAAAACGACATAGTCCAAAAATGTATGCTGGATTTGGAGAATACGGTAGTAGACGTCCATCATTTTCTCCACGCATAAACTCTGTTGATAGAAGTGCAAAAGATAGTTATAGCTATCTACAAGATCAAAGGCCTTCTCCTTTACCTCCTATATTACTTGAACCACTGCGTAGGAGAATGGTGCAATCTGCTTCAATGGATCCTTTTCCTAATAAACAACTAAGCCGTGTAAGCTCTTTAATTAAGAGAAGTTGCCGTTCCCTAGAGGTAAGAAGATAAAAAACTGAGTGTATATTTAATACACATACTTCTTTACAAACATTTGTTTCACACACTATTCATTTTTTTTTTTTTGTTACATTGAAATAATAATTAAAAACCCAGCACAGGAGGGTCGCGGCACAGTAATGATGTAGCATAGTTGGATCAAGTATAATGATATCTGACAGTGATTAAAATCACTATCAAAATAAAACACTTCGATGCAAAATTTTAGATAGTGTTTAATTTAAAAAAAATGGTGTATTATTCCAAAAGCTACATGATCTGCTAGTTCCTTATTAATATCCTGATTAAGATAAAGTATGTCGCATGAAAAAGGGATTATTAAAAAATATTATTTCTCATGAAAAAATTGTATTGATCATTTTTAAAAAAGTTATAGCACTTTAAANCATACATTTTTAAAAAAGTTATAGCACTTTAAAGTGAAAAATGTAAATTATAAAATCGAGAATTTTCACACAAAAATAGCATTTGGTAGCCATTTTCACCATGAAGAAAAGTCCAGAGGTCAAATTTTTTTTTTCAAATTAAAGTATATTACATTAGCTTTATTTTAAGATATATATAAAAATGTCAGACTTTCCGGAACATTTTCAAAAGTTAAGTTGAAAAAGTTAATTTTTTGTGAAAAAGTTGTCATTTTAAATCCCCCCCGTGGCCAGATATAGGTTCAAATTTACAAAAAAAATATACCAAATGATAGGTAAATACATTAAGCATCTATAAAAAAAAAGATTTATATTGATACGTTCATTTTTGAAAAAGTTACGGCAGTTTTTAGTAAAAAAAATTGAAAAAATTTCGAAAATTACCGATTTTTAATATTTGTAATTTTTTTGGAGGTTTTCCCCATCTACGGGAAACGAGGAAAATTTTTTCAATTTTTAAAGGTTATGTCTTCGACTAGATACGATTTGTGATCTTTTGACGTATCGTTGAAAGAAATCGGTTCGGTGAGAGCTGAGAAAAAGTGGTAACAGACACAAAAAAAAAAAAAAACATAGTAAAACCAATACCTTCTCAGCTTCGCATCGAAGCTAAAACTTGAACTGAAGTAAAAAAAATTTATTAACTTTTATGTATACCATTTATTGATTACTTCAAATGAAAATAAATGACAATACTTATTATCATAGGTACGTGTACAAATTCAATAAAAAGTTCTTTTGCTTTTAAATTGTTAAAAATTGGTATTTATTAAAAAAAACTACTAATTTACTTTAAAGGATTGACATACTTTATTGTACAAAAATTTCAATCTAAGTATACAAAATGAGTTTTAAGAATAAATGCACTGAATGTTCTTTAAATTTTCTATAAAACAGATTATTTAGAAAGAGTTATGGGATAATGCATAGTTTTTCTGCCCGCGACCTGAATCTCTGTGCACGCTTACGTGTAAAATATTTTTGTTTTATTTCTAGGACTCCAAACTTATTGAACAAACCTCAAAAGAAGAAAATTACTGTGGAGATAGTGGTGCTGAAACTGTAGTGAATGGTAGCCTTCAGTATGCACCTCTACTAACTGATGACAATAAACGATGGCATTCATTTGAAGATATAGCACAAGAACCTCATAGGAAAAAGTTGGTTTCTAGAGGTTCTATAAGAAATTGGCTTGTAGGTTTATTCAATGGTACTGCTACATCTTGTCGAAGCAGTGAAGTATCATTACGAAAAGTATACTCTGACATGCAACACATAGTAGATAAAGAAAGTGTCGTGTAAGTTATAAATTAAATTTTTGTTTTTATTATAATTATTTTTATTTTATTTTATATATATATAATTATTATATTGTTTATTATTATTATTATTATTATTAAATTTCTAGTAAAAAATTATAATTGTTGATAATTATAACATTACATTCATTATACTACTAAATTATATTTAAAAAACATTAGTTAAATTTATACTTGTATTGTGAATTTGAGTGCCGTACTCAATTTTAACCCAACTATTGCTTTATGACAATTTAGTATATTTTAAATAATTTTGTTTAAATTTGTATTCTTATTAAGTATTGTACTGTATGGCTTTATTATTGCTGTTCATATATTATTTGTATTTATACTAATATATGATTATACTATTCATGTATACACACACACACGCATATATATATATATATGTTTATAAATACACATTCATTTTTAAATAAGATAAATTCTAATTTCTTTTACATAAATTCTATAGATGAAACTTGTAAAATTTGCCATACTTCAGAATTTAACGAATAAATAAAATCCACATCACAAAATTTAATTTAGTACTGTTAAATATTTATTATTAATTTTTTACTAAGATTAAATTTATTATCACTATATAATTATTGTGCCATTTGTAATAAATAACTAGATACCTAAGAAATACTGCGTCTTAAAAAAAATTTACATTGTTGTAGTTATTTATATTATTTTTACTCATTTGATAAAATGTACTAGTTTTATAATTTTTAAATGGTCAAAGTTACTATGTTTATTACTATAGGTATACATATATTTATATAATCTATTGTTTTTTAAGTTATATTTTGTTTAAATTTTTAGATATTGTAAAATAAAGAAATAAAAACAAAAAAATGTGAGTTTTATAATGCAAGACATTTTTATAATTGTTTTATGCAAAATTAAAAATTAATTAAAACACTATACTAGTGTCATCCACTACGCAGCCCATAGACTAATTTTGTTGAGCTCTCACTTAATTTAAATTTATTAGGGAGGTACATTGAAGGGATTATTTTTCTTCCTAAAATGTTATTCGCGAAAAATCTTCAACATTTATATGTGATCTTACAAGTGGTCTCTTTTTTTTTTTTTTTGCAGTCTACGTTTTTCAAATTTATATTTAAAGATTTTAAAGAATACTTCATAATGAAAAATATAAAAACGTCCCTACGAAATTTTTCTATAAGTTATTTGACTTTAAAGCCAAAAATTGCAAAATTTCTGTTCTGTGAAAATGCAACGCTCTTTTTTCATTTTACTATAAACTTTTCTAAAACACTGATAATAATACAATATTAAATTATTGTTATTATGTCAAATTTTATATAGATTAGTTTACTGGAGTTTTTTTGATAATTTCTAAAAATAATGAAATAATTTACGTTCTTATTACTATTAAACATAATGGAACTTGTTCCTTTATTCTTCTCAAATAAAGGAATAGGTTCTTTTTGGAACGTGTTCTTTAAAAAAATTGAATATATAACTATATAATAAATAAATCAAGTAGGATAAACCTCAAAAATTAAGGAGATACTAAAATAATACTACAATAATTTTTAACAGATAAAGGATATCCAATATAATAATTTTGCTGTCGTATCTTATAAACATTTGATTATCAAATTTTATAAATAGCATAATAATTCTTGTTAATATTAAAGGAAATTAAAATTCATAGTTCCTATCTTACTTAAGTATCTTATATATTAATAGTTGATAAAAAAATTATTTTAATATTTCTAATACAATTCTTTTATTTTTATCTTTTACACGTAAGTTCTCACAGGAGAATGTTATTTAGGGATAGAAGTCCTCATGATGAAAATTAATATATCATAAATATACATTTTGGAGATGGTAGTAATAAAATATCTTATCATCTCCCAAGACGAAACCCTGAGAACGCTATTGTTTTAATACAATTTGTTTGAAATTTGAAAGCTGAGAAAAATATTCCAGTTGACTGGAAATCAAACTAAGGTATCTCACTATTTGAACAAGACCTTTCCCATTAAGCTATTAGGCAATCACACTTAATAACCAATTCCTGAGTCTCTTTAATGGTTGATAACAAATCTGAACCATACAAGAATAATCAATACAAATAAAAAGTTAAATTAAATGTATTTATTTTACATTAGATTAATTCAAACAATTTCATTAATGGGTCCACCTAAAAATAAATTAAAAATCTCATTATTATTTCATAACCAAATTTGAAATAAATATACTATTACTTACAATCTTAGTACTTTGTCTTTCCCTCCAGATGCTACTTTATGACCATCTGGAGACCAATCAACTGCGAATACTTCATCTGCATGACCTGGAAGATCACCTTCTAATTTTTTATTTTTGACATCCCACACTGAAATTAGATTAAATAAATATAAAAATATGAAATACATTCATGATAGTTCTAAAAAAATCTATACTATTTATATTTTAACATTCTTTAAGGGACATAATTAGGACTTCATTTTTTTTTCAATTATAACAAGTACGATACTACAAGGACGGTGTGGTCATGTCAGTAACATGGCAGTACTTGATGCACACTGTCTTGAGTTCAAAAATTGGTTACAGGTGGCTTTATTTGCCAAGCAAGAGATCAGTTTGGTAATTGGAGTTGTCATCCCTCACTCCAGCGATAAACTAACCACCTATTCCAAAGTATCAATGGTTAAGAAATCTTCTCCTTTGGGGGACTGTTATGACCCTTAATGGGCTGAAAAATGATACTGTAAAGATCTTGTTCAGACCTTCATAACTGCCAGTTAATAATTTTTAATAAATATCTTATAAAAATTATGTATATGATTATATAAATAATTTGGCTTTATGAAGATGACCCGGTCAAAAATTTGCCGCATCCTAGTAAAATCTAAGATAATGCAAATGCACAACATTTAAATTAACATGAGGGTATAATGAAAATTAAGCAAAAATTTACATTACTCAACAAAAAAAGGGTAATATGGAATATTATCTATGGTCTAAGCACAAGTATAATCCAATTGATTTTGAAGCAAATTTTTTTTTTTTGTCATACTGGTTCCAAAAAAGGTAATGTCATAATCTCTATAAAAAATCTATGATTTTAGTAATTAAAAGTAAAATTAGAGAAATCCTTATGAGTTTTCCTAATTAGATTTTTCATTCACTTTTTTATGTTATTAAAACTAAAACTACCTTTTAGTGTAGAATCAGCACTACCACTAACTAATAGCCTTGAATCAGCAGACCAACATATCATGTAAACAGCTTGTACATGTCCTCTCATTGTTCCAATAAACCTATAACATCAAGTTTTAATTTAATTAATACATATATATTGACACTCATACAAGTGTATACATTACTTTCCAGTTTTGCCATCCCATAACCTAATTGATTTATCAAATGAAGCAGATGCTACATATCTTGAATCAGGTGAAAATTGCACACAATTTATCAATTGTTGATGACCAGTCATTCTCTCTAAAAAATATTAATTTTTATGAGCATAGATAAAATGGTTATTTTCTTTAATTTTATTACCAATAGGTGTTTTCTTAGATTCAGGAGCCCACATAAATAACGTAAAATCATCAGACCCTGAAATTAGTCTTTCACCAATATTTGCAACTACATTATCATACCTTTTCTTAGATTCATTTAAAATATTATTTTCATCTAATGAAATGAATGTATTATTTGTATTTAAATTATATATAGCTTTCTCTTATAAATTTACTTAGCGTATTACTAAATGGAGGTTGAGGCACCAATGCAGTTCTCATAACATAATCTGTACTGAGTGCCAAAGTATTTACCCAATGACCATGCCCTTCTAATGTTCGACATAACACACCCTGTAAAAATAATTTACTATAACTTTTAATATTCAATATTTCTAATCAAATTATACAAAGATATTAGTTAACTCATAAAAAACGAAAAGAACGAGCAAACAATATAGTATCTCAAGTGGTCATAGTTAATATTATATTAACTAAAATATATCATACATAAATGTTTAATTTTTTGAAAATTCACAATTTCTGATGAAAATTAATTTTGAGCCCTATTAAAATTTTGATAATTAATTTACAGTAAGCTAAATTAAGAAATTTCATTTTTTTTTAATTATAGTTTTAAAAATGATACAAAAAATATTTTAATCATTTTGAATTAGACCTTTCATAACTTTCAAAACATGTTTGTTCTTTTATGAATATAAAATTTTAAGAAATAAAATCTATAACAACTATTAGTAATGTTTTAGGATTTAAATTAAAATGGTTGAATTAATAACTCTAAACAAATAATTAATTTCAAATACATATTTGTACATTTTAAAATTTACTATTTGTTTTAAACATTTTCAAGATAGTTAAATAAATTTGCCTACATCATTAGCTCTCCAAACTTTAATTGTTCGATCTTGTGATCCACTGTATAATAATCCTGTTCCTCCCCACTTTAAACAAGTTATACTTCGAGTATGACTAGTTAGTGATCTTTGACATTGTCCTAGAATAACATCCCAAATTCGAATATCTCCATCTTTACTACTACTTGCAAATCTTAATAAATAATATATAACAATAATTATATTTTGATAATAAATTACACATTTTAAGAACAGCATAATAACATTGTATTTTTAATTTATCACTGTCTAGAGAATATTAATCAAGTTTAGAACTTGGCAACTAAAGAAATTATTTTCATTATTTTAGATAAAAAAATATGTTTGGGTACATCATTTATAACTAATTATGATATTATTAAATAATTTCATGTATTTTTATTAATGATAAATTATTTTATTAATAAACAGTTATAATATTTATACATAATAAAAACTATTTATTTTAAAGTTATGATGCTGTATAGAATAATTTTTTTTAATTACAATCTGCAATCTGGCGATAAATGATACGGAGCCCAACACAATGCAGTAATCCATTGTTTGTGTCCTGTCATTGGAGGTCCTAATTTTTTTCCTGTTTCAACATCCCAAGATAATATTAATCCATTTTTACAGCCAGATACAAGGTATTTGCTATTAGGTGACCATGCTATACATAAAACCCAATTTTTATGACCTACAGAAAAATTTTTTATATAATATTTAGTTTTGTATAAAAGTAAAATTATATCTATCATTGTTGGTCTAAGTTCAATTGAATACCTTCACAAGTATATAGAGGAGTTTGCATATTAAGATCCCAAAATCTTACTGTTGTATCACCTGATCCACTAGCCAATTTACGACTATCAGGACTAAACTGAACTGAAATCACTGCTTCAGCATGCCCAGGTAGAGAACTAAGGAAAATATATTTTAATTGAAATTTTATAGAAAATATTTATTTGATATATACCTTGTACATCTAGTAATTGGACGCACTTTGAAAACTGCTTGTTGTTGGTAAATAATATCTATAACTTGTTCACTACTTATTTTAATATTATCTAAACATTCATCTAAATCTTTGACAATTTCTTTATCATTGACAAAAAAAGCGTAAGGCACAGTTTCATCCTTTGCAAGTAAATATTATTAAGATTTTTTCTTACAATTTATTGATACTAAATTTTTCGTACTTGTTTGAGGAGAGAGTTACAAATTAACTGTAAATTGTTTACTGTAATGTTTCGAGGTAAATCCATCATATCACCAATTGATTCACCCATTTCAGATTTGAAACGAGCTAATACCGTACTGACACATTCAGTCATTTTAATTAATTAATAAAAAAAAAAATTCTAAAAATGTTATATTAATTGACTAACAAAATTTAGCTTATTAAAAATTGAATCATATAAACAACATGAATTTAAATATTCCAAAGTAACAATATAAATTTAAAAAATAGCCTACTTGTTTATCTACCTAATGTAATGTTATTATTTAAGAATGTTCTGAAATTAGTTTAATCAAACACATTTTTAAAATTAAAAATTTAAACCTAACCTTAAAATAATATGGAATGGCAATATCATACAGCTGTTAATAGCAAAATAATTTTTATCTTACTAAGGTCGTTTATAATATAGCCCATAATACACAGTAATATAAATTTTCATCTATCTATTAGCGTTACATTGTCACGCATTCAATTGTTCTAAATAATTTCATTAGAAATGTCTCGAGTTTTATCTCAATTGAAAAAATTTAACAGTAAGTAAATATATCTCAATATTTAACAATTAATTTATAAATTACAATTTTTTTTTAGATGTTTGCAAAATTACAGCACGGTCTAGTTCTGATCACCACCCTTCTTATAGACCATTAACTATGGATGATATGCCTGTTCCTAAAGGATCCTGGCAAGAACACTACAACAAAACTAATTCGAAGTATAATGCAGTTCTTATAGGCGGTGTAATTTCTTTAATAACATCAATATATATAGTAAGATGCCAATATTTTTATTTAAAATATTACTGTTTGATTGTTATTACATATTTTATTTTGATGATATATCATGACTAAGATAAAACTTTAAAATTTCTAAGTATTGAGAAACCTTTTAAGGAATTATCTATTGGTCTATATATTACCTCTTTAAGTCATTCTATTTATTCACTGGATGATATTTTGCTGATTGTCAAGACTAAAAATCTTTGCAATTATTTTTTGTAAAAGAAACTTTAGACTAACTTTTTTCAAGATTATAAGTTTCCTTATTCATTCTTTTTTTACGTTATTGAATTAATTGTTTCTTAACAAATTACTTAAACAATTGATCATATTAACCTATTAATTAACAAATATATATTACTAAGTCAGAGTTTCTTTTTCTCTCTAAATCATTAAATTAAAAATTGAACTTTGTATTTCTGAAAAATCTAACTATGCCAAGCAAATATTTAGCTTTTAATTACATTATAACATTTTAAAGATATATTAATCATTTTTTTTATATTTATTTTAAAATCCTTGTTAGTGATAGATATTGCTTATTTTTAATTTACATTAAATGTTTTTTATTCGTAATTTTTTACATCATATACTACACATTAAAAATTTGTTATCATTTAAAGTACAAATTTTATACTTTTTTTAATAAATATCTGGTAAAGGAATTTATTCGTGCAGTTTATAGTAAAAAATGGAAACTTTATATAAGAAAAAAAATAAAATTACAACTCAATGAAAATATTGTCCATCACTTGTCACTACTTTCTCCCATCTTTCAGGTAATTTACGGGTTCCCTGTCGAAAGAACTCTTCATCTTTCGAAGCAATCCAATCAGAGACCCATTTTTCAATATTTTCTGAAGACATGAATCGCTGTTTGATTAAATTGTTGTTCATACAATTGAACAAATAGTAATCAAAAGGTGCGATATCTGGTGAATACAGCAGGTGGGGTAAGACTTCTCACTTGACATTTTCCAAGTAGTTTTTTCGCTTAGGATTCTCGTAATGAATCCACTTCTCATCACCAGTTACAGTTTGATGCAAAAATCCTTTTCTTTTTTGTCTCTCAAGCAGCAATTCGCAAACGGTTTTTCTTCTTTCAATTCATGTGGAACCCATTGCAACATGTTTTGAATCATTCCCGTTGCTTTAAAACGTTTCGAAACTATTGTTTGCTCAACTCCTAGTGATTCTGCAAGTTCGTCTTGCGTTTGACACGAATCCTTATCAAGCATTGCAACTAATTCTTCATCTTCAAATTTTTTTGGCTGCCCAGATCTTTCTTGGTCTTCTAAACCAAAATTATTGCTTTTAAACCTTGCAAACCACTTATGACACGTTCGCTCAGCTAGAGCATGGTCACCATAAACTTCAACCAAAATTCGACTTTCGGTAACACTTTTCTTCATAATAAAGTAATGAAGTAGAACTCCCCGCAAAAACACTTTATCCGGCACAAAACTCGACATTTTCAGTTAAATAAAAAAATCTTTGTTTATTTAGGATTCTAAATTGTAATTAATAATGACATGATTAATGTTCCTCCTTTTTATTTTTTCTAATTTTATTGTGTTAAAATATGTAATATTTTTATTACATAACTGTATTTAACTAAAACTTGTTAATTATAATTTGAAATAATTGTTTATCATTAATATTTTTCAGTTGCAAGATAATGTTTTTTTCAATGCTTTTCCACCTCCGTTACCAACAGAAGATGAACAAAACTAAATAGTGATTGATTTAGAATGAACATTTTTTTTGTAGCCTACAAAAATTACCATACCTTAATATGTTCTCAATTTCTTAAAAATAATTTGCAATTGTCATTTAATATAAATGATAAAAATGATTTTAGTATTTATATTTTAGAGTAACCTGCATGAATTTTTTATTATTAAAAAGTTTATTTGTATAGTAAACATACATTCAACTAAAATTCTTACTCTATAATAATATAATAAAAATCAATAAAACAATTCTGAATATGTTGAGAAATTTCTATTATTATAATTACAAAAGAGTACTTTTTTTTTTACATCTAAAAATTAGATTACTATTATGTATTATCAAAAAAAAAAAACAAATATTTGTTTATAAAAAATGATAGCACAATGGAGTTATGGAACAGTGTGTACATAGCATAGTTGGGACATGTATAGATGATGTCTGACAGTGATTAAAATTACTATCGTGAGAAACTCTTTAATGCTAACCTGTAGATAGTGTTTAATTTTAATAAATTGGTGGATTATTTCAAAAGCAAAATTAACTCCTATATCCTTAATATTAAATTCAAAATGTGTTCCCATTTAAAAAAATAAAGTTGACACCCTTATCAGACATAAGAGATGACTTAAAAAACCCAGCACAGGGGGGTCGCGGCACAGTGGTGACGTGGCATAGTTGGATCAAGTATAATGATATCTGACGGTGATTAAAATCACTATCATAAAAAACGCTTCGATGCTAATCTTTAGATAGTGTTTAATTTTAAAAAATTGGTGAATTATTCCTAAAGCTACATAATCTGCTAGTTCCTTATTAATATCCTGATTAAAATAAAGTATGTCGAATAAAAAAGGGATATAAATATTATTTCTCATAAAAAAATTATGTTGATCCATACATTTTTCAATAAATTATAGCATTATAAAATTAAAAATGTAAAAAATAAAATCCAGAATTTTCACACAATAATAGCATTCGGTAGCCAATTTCACCGTGAAGATAAGATAAAGTCCGAAATTTTTTTTTTTCATGATAAAGTATATTACATTAGCTTTAATTTAAGATATATATAAAAGTGTCAGACTTTCCGGAACACTTTCAAAATTTAAGTTCAAAAAATTTCGAAAATTAGCGATTTTTAAATTTGTAATTTTTTTGGAGGTTTCCCCCATTTACGGGGAACGAGGGAATTTTTTTCAATTTTTGAGGGCAATGTCTTCGACTAGATACGATTTGTGATCTTTTGACGTATCGTTGAAAGAAATCAGTTCGGTGAGAGCTGAGAAAAAGTGGTAACAGACACAAAAAAAA